CTCCTTCTACATGGGTTATCTCATGCATGTCTGGAGGTGATGCTTTTTATTCCTTGCCTGTCTTTCAGAGTATGATGTAACAAGATGATTTAAGAGCTTGCTGCCACAGAAATGAGAAGAACCGTTCCCCTCCCCATCTTCCCAACCTCCTCCTTTCCTCCTGCCGATGCACTCTCCTCTCTTAAAAGCTCACCCTGATGCTCACAGGGTAGATAACACACGTTGACTTAACTCTCTAGAAGGGCTGAAAACTTAATCCAGAAAAATGGCAGTAAGGTTTTCTGTGTGGTTTGGAGCTGCATCCATTTACTTTGCAATCCAATGCTTGACAGTGACAATACAAACTGCTGAGAATAAAGGACTGCACAGCCAGAAGTGGGGGACTGGAGGAGCACTGAGGGAAGAAAGGAGAGAGGGATCAGGAGGAAGGAGTAGGGGTGAAGGAACAAGACCTCCCTTTCCAAAGCAGAAAACGGTTTAGTTGCAGCAGGGAACTGCACCCTTGCCTGTATTTGGCAACCCTGATCTCAGTTCCATGTTTATCTGCCTTGATAAGATCTGCATCTCCATCCTGGAGTACATTCCCTTCTTCAAAATTATTTCATGCATTAAAGTAGGATTTGACAAACACCACATTAAATAAACAAACAAACAATCAAACAAACAAACAAAGTACTTTTTGTGCTTTCCAGTTTTCTTAAAGGTGGCTCTTACTAACAGATTGTGTACTAGCACAACTCCATTTCCAAGGGATGGTTAGCCCACATTCAGAGCTGAAATGCTAAAAACTGAACACGACATGTGCAAACCACTTTATCCTGTTGTGTTTCTTCTGCATTGTGTTGCCCACTGTGGCTTCCCATTAGGATATTTATGCACAAAGGATGAGCACCTTCTGTACCCAACCTCTTGGGTCTGAGCAATCCATTCACACCCAAGACACTTCAGTCCATATCAATGTTTCTAAAAAGAACACTAGATTAACTCATATCTTGGGGCACCACAATATCCTTAATGTAAGAACGTTTGTTTCATTTTTTAAGTCAAAGTAATGGCATTCAAGAGCAGCAAATGTGAAAAACTACTTCAGATATCAGGCAGTATCAGATCTGGCAGTCTAGAAATTATTGATAAACACGGATTGAGCCCAGCTCAATTTCCTGTCTTTCCCTAAAGTTGTGAGTCATTACCAAATGGCAAGGATACTCTCCTTTGGACAATATGCATAAATTGAGCCCTAGTTACTTAAAAAGAAAATCCTCAACTCCACGTTTGAAAATATAACATAGTCCACATCCATATATACATGAATGTGGATAAATACTAAACTATGATGGCATCAGTGAAAAGGAAAACTTTTAACTCAGACTAAGGAATGAAACAATACGAGATTAAGAAACAATGCAATAATTAAAATCAGCAGCAGCAGAACGTAAACTGTGTAAATACTGTACAGCACTGTCAGAGAACAAGGACATTGAACTTCACTTAGGGTAAGACTTCTTCAGCAAGTTCACTGAAATTCCCTGCTATGTGACAGAGGCTCACTGAGAATGAATGTGTCAAAGGGGGTCATTTCCTCTTCAAAATATATTTTGCTTACAAACGAAACCAGATCAGCCTATTTCACCACCAGGGCTGTACTCACTGTCAACTGTAAAGTATATTTGGTTTGGAATATATAAATATTCAACTATTCTGTAAAATATCTGTACATCATTTCAGGCTTTCTAATCAAATAAATCTATTCTAGGTCTTCTTTGAATCGTTTTAGAAATAATTAACAGGATCCAAGCTAATTATCATTCAACTGAAACTTTTTCGGTGACATGATCGATCTCGAAGAGTGGATCTGTAAATGACAGTGCGTGTGCAGGCGATGGGTCCCTGTCACACCAAGGCCATTGCTGCCATCTGCTGAGGGAGAGAGAACGGCACAGGAACGGCCAAGTGTCAAAAAAAATACTCCCTGTTAGCCATTCCAGAGAGAGATTCCTGCAGAGGCGATGCCAGAAAACCCAGCTCCACCTGATCCACAAGGTGAAAAACTAAAATCCACGGGTTTTACTTCAACTCCCTTTAGAACAAAACCGAAAGAAGAGCGACAGAAGACGGAGCCGAACCGTTTATTAGAATATGCTCAGGAATGCTGGGAACACTTCCAGGGTGATGCCGGGATTCCATGGTCAGTGTTAATGCCCGCGGTATATTTGGATGCGTGGAAACTCCTGGTACCGTGTGATCACCACACACATGGTCACATTAAGTGCAGTCACTGCGTAATTCAGTGTTTAACGTGCAACAATCGCGCTGGCAGAGCCCGATCTAAACGCGCCCCTCCAGCTCAGCCCGTGGCTGCAGCCAAGCGCCGGTCGGGTTCTGTTCCCCGCAACCAGCGACAGGACAAGAGGGAATGGTCTGAAGCTGCGCCAGGGGAGGTTCAGGCTGGACATTAGGAAGAAATTCTTCACAGAAGGGGTGTTTAGACATTGGAAGGGAGGTGGTGTGGACACCGTCCCTGGAGGTGTGTAAGGAAAGGCTGGACGTGGCACTCAGTGCCCTGGTCTGGTTGTTCGGTCACAGGTTGGACTCGATGATCTCAGAGGTCTTTCCCAACCCAAGTGACTCCGCGATTCCTACGATTCTGTGTCTCCCAGCAGCGGGGCCACCCTCACCCAACCCCGTCCCCGCATGGACGCCAGGCCAGTCCCTCCCCTCCCGGTTCTTCCGCCTCAGGAGCGGTTTCTGGCGAGGAAGCCCCGCAGCCCTGAGGGGTCACGGCGACGGGACGGGACAGCCCCGCAACCCCCTCCACCCCCGCCATAGCGCGCACCCCCCGGTGCCCAATTCGCGCTTGGCACCGCCCCCCGAGGGAATTGAGTGGAGAGAGCGTCTGACTGATGTTCGCGAGAGCCAATCAGAGAGCGGCACCGAGAGGCTGCGAGCCAATGGAAGGCAGGAGGAGGGGCCTCTGTCCGGAAGCGGCGGCGCTGAGGGAACGCGGCGGGCGGTGGGGACAGTGAGGGTGAGTGAGGGAAGGTGGGGGCGGGCGGGTCTCCGCGGGCCCCGGATGGGTTCTGTCCCCTCCGCCAGTACCTGGTCACATCTCTTCTCTCCTCAGCACTGGTCTGAAGAGCCCTGCGGCCCAGAGCCCGGTCCAGCCCGGAGCAGGGCAGCGAAGCTCGGTGCGGGCGGGTGTGGGCCCGGGCCGGTTTCTCTCGTGGGTCGCGTGTGAAGAGGGGAAGCCACACGAGGAGCGGCTGAGGGCACTTGGTCTGTTCAACCTGAAGAAGCAGGAGACTAAGGGCAGACTTCACCAAGGTCTGCAGCTTCCTGACGAGGGGCAGCACCTGTCTGTGCTCTCCGTGACCAGTGACGGGACCCGAGGGAATGGCTGGAGTTGTGTCAGGGCAGGGTTAGCTGCATATTAAGAAAAGGTTCTTCACCCAGAGGGTGGTCGGGCACCGAACAGGCTCCCCAGGGCAGTGGTCACGGCCCCAAACCTGACAGAACTCAGGAAGCATTTGGACAACGCTCTCAGGCACATGGTGGGATTGCTGGGTTGTCCTGTGCATGACCTGGAGCTGGACTTTGATGATCCTCGTGGGTCCCTTCCAACTCAGGATATTCTGTGAGGTTCGCAGACTGGGCTCCAGCTAGGGAAGGGGTCTCCCCCTTCCTGTGGCTGCTCAGTTTACAGGCTGGTCTTTCATATTTTGGGAAATGAGTGTTCTGTGTGCTACTGTAGTTTATCCTGCTGTAAGTAAACCTTAGTGAAAAGTAACATGGATTTATCAGTAGTTTCCTGTATTCTGCACATTGGGTTGTCTTCTGATTCATTTTCTCAAGGCCACTTCTCTTGCATTGTTTTTGTTTATATTTATCTATTAATCTTGTGACACAAATTGTTAACATATGTTTCTTGTTAACATATGTTTCTTGGGATTTTCCCATAGGTATTTTCGTCTGGCAAAAATGGGTGAACCTCAGCAAGTGAGTGCCCTTCCTCCACCTCCAATGCAGTATATAAAAGAATATACTGATGAAAATATCCGTAAGGGCCTGGCTCCAAAGCCACCTCCCCCTGTGAAGGACAGCTACATGATGTTTGGAAATCAGTTTCAGTGTGATGACCTGATCATTCGGCCCTTGGAGAGCCAGGGTATTGAACGGCTGCATCCCATGCAGTTTGATCACAAGAAGGAATTAAGAAAACTTAACATGTCTATCCTGGTCAACTTTTTGGACCTCTTGGATATCTTGATAAGGAGCCCAGGGAGCATAAAGCGAGAGGAGAAACTGGAAGACTTGAAACTGCTTTTTGTCCATGTCCATCACCTTATAAATGAGTATCGCCCTCACCAAGCCAGGGAGACACTGAGAGTCATGATGGAGGTGCAGAAACGTCAGCGCCTGGAGACCGCGGAGCGATTCCAGAAGCACCTGGAGCGGGTTGTGGAGATGATCCAGAACTGCCTGGCTTCCTTGCCTGATGATCTGCCTCATGCAGAGGGAGGACTGAGAGTGAAAGTGGAGCCCATGGATACTGATGATGGCAGCAACTGCATCGGACAGAGTGAAAAGCAGAGAGAGCGTTCAGGTGGCAAGAGAGATCAGGTTTTAGACAAGGATGCAGCAATGTGCAGCATTATTGACGAAATGACATGAAGAAAACACCTTGCTTTGTTAATGCACCACAGGGAGAGGCAGGGTGTATTCTGAGGCTACACATAGTTTGTTTTGCTGTTGTACAAGCAGATAAAGCATTTCTTGTGCACATGTTGGAGGTTGTGAGTGACTGGGCAGATGAAAGTGTTTGATATTTTGTGACCTGTGTTTTTTTGGTAGAAAGAAAAAAGTGTAATTTTTGTGAAATGTACTGTGAGGTGGTAGGCACAGATTAAAGTTGACTTTTTCTGTCATACTTTCATTTGTCACTTCCTGCGTATTTTGGGTTCATCTCTCTGATTTTTGGGTATGCCATTCTATGGTTCTATGTGCTCTGAGTCAAGAAAAAATTTCTACAGAAGTGGTGCTTGTTTCTTGCACAAGCAAAACACAGGAACTTGGAAAACAGCCACGTAGAAACTCAGATTGCACCAAGGCATTCCTTATAGTCTGTGTTTGAGGTGAAATCTAAATCAAGTGGGTTAACTGTTGTCCCGTAGCTCTCCCATTCCCTTACTATGTGACCAAAACAGCTTTCCTGGGATACAGACAGCACTCAAACAGCTGTTGACTAATGTGTGAACAGAATAGCCTGGGTGAAGTGAGTAAAATGGACACAGACAGAGCTCTGGGATAAGAGTTCCTTTATTTTCTCATCCTGTTTATTTATTTCAGAGCTCAGATGTGGCTCATGCAAGGGAGGAACCTGTGCAGACCCGTGCACAGCACATGTTTTGCTGGGGACTGTGGGAAGGGCCATGTCCTGGTGTGCAGGTGGGTGTTTGCTGCACACTGGACCACCAGAGCTCACCAGCCCGTGCCAGGCACTGTGGGGAATGCAGTCACCCGCCTCCTGCCAGAGCCAGCTCGCCGGGATCCTGCTGGCCATTATCAGAATTGTTCCTTTAGCAGCTGTCTGCAGTTTCCTGTTTCCACAGAAACACCAGGAGCGAAGAGGAAGCGCTTTTCTTAGTGTCCTGCTTCCAGCTGCTGCACGCAAAAGTCACACTGCATGCAAAAGTCACCCTTCATCCCTCTTACTCTCACTTCTCTCCTGCAAGCATGTTGCTAGTGTTTGTCTCTCAGCTGCATTAATCCCTTGGTTTTCCTAATTTTCACTTAAAGAAACTATCACTTTGGTGCCTCTGCCCTCTAAGGTATCCAGTGCGAGACAGCTCTGTTGGTTCTAACTCCTTAGTACTTAATTTCATCTGTATAAAACACTGTGAGGTAGATTAGTAGCTTCAGCAAAGAACACTTCTTGGCTCTAGATCAAATACCCTTGATCACAACTGCAGTTCTAGTCCAAACAATATAAAAAGACAAGATATCCTTGAGAAGAGTTTGGTGATCCAGGGACACAGGGAGAGTGGCCAGGGAACAGCCTTTCTCAAAAGCTGTATTTCAGAATTCTGTCAGAGTGAGCCTTGAGTCTGGGATGAGACAGTTTCCACACTACTTTTTAAAGTGATTCTGCATTCTGGATGTTTTGTCTATATTGCAAAAGCCCAGGCATATGGAATTTTAAAGAGTCAGATGAAAAGAGACTGCAACTCTATTTGGCTCAACTGTGTAACAGTAGGACAGTTTTCCAATACTACCAAATTATTGCTGCCAAAGAAAATTTGCCAAAAGATGCTCTGAGCTGCTTCTAAGTATTAGAACCAGAAATTTATAATTAAAAGCTTGAGTAGTTCTTCCTAGGAATCTTTTATTTTGCCAAGTCCTTTCTACTTACCACAGTGCTACGGCAAAAGTAGGTGTGGGAAGCAGTCTGGGGCAATGGTTCTGGTAGTTGTGTGAGCTCAGTGGCGCTGACAAGTTTCACTTATGGTAATCAAGCAGATCTGGAAAAAAGAGAACTAGATTTCTGTGGCGAAGTGCCGCCTCAGTCACACCCCGTCAGCGGCAGCTCAGCCCTGTACACTTGTACCTTGCCTGCAGCTCTGCCTCTGCTGCAGGAGACAGACAGCCCAACCACGGGCAAAAGGATCAGATTGGACTGAAGGGCACCCACAGCTGTGTCTGGACATGGTGTGCTAAGAAGCAAACAAAGAAGTTTACCTAGAAGATAAGTTTTCTTGAATGAGGAGGGTGAGTGGGAGTGTTCCTCATCTTCAGCCACGATGTTGTCTTATGTCTGCATGAACTGGATTCTTCTGGTCCTGTTTACAGGTAACTAAGTGGACCTAAACAACTAGATGGAGGTGGATGGAGGTATCATGCATCAGGGATTCTGAGGGTTGCAAAGTGAGAAATTTTATCTTACAACAGAAAGAGTGGCCACATATCACAGAAACTGCAGCTTTGTGTTAGACTTTTATCACAGTGACTCAATAGTGTTCTAGTGGCCTTATCACCTTTTTAAGATAAAATCATGTTTGAGGGTATGATGGTTTTAAAGATGCTCCTTCTTGAGCTAGTCTTGGCTCCTGCTAGTCTGATTAGTGGGCTTTTAAAAACTGATCCAAGATGAGCAGAGAACTTTAAATCATTTTAGAGAAGTTGTAAAACAAGGATATTTCACTTTGGCAGACTTTGTGAAGATGAGTGCTTAGGTGGCTTCTGGTGTTTTTTAGCTAATATGAAATTGTATTGGGACAAATTGGTAATTTCTCCTTTTTTTTTTTTTTTTAATCTGAGAAACCAGTCCTAGATTGTTAAAGGCAACAGCACTGTAAACAACAGGTTGTAAAGTGGTACTAATAAAGACAGACATTAAAAACTTGGTGGTAAGATAAATTCAGTAGAAAGAAAAGGGATATTACAGATACTATTTCTTATAGTTCTTTATACAGTCTTTTATGATGAGATTCATTTCAAACTTCCTTTTTATATTAAATAAAAATTATAGACCAGACTGGACTTTCAATAGAGATAATTTGTTGCCTGTTCTTGCTGAACAGAACTCTATTCCTGAAATGTTAATATGGATGGATCAAAATATTTACACATGTGATCCCATGTTACTGAATTTGATAAGAATGGGCAGTAGTCAGTATATAGAAAATGTGTTTTTTTGAAGTACAAACAACGTGTGCACTTTGGGAGCCTCACTGCATACCCTGTTAGAAGAAAATGGTTACGGGATGACTGTGACTGAATCCCCAGAGCACAAATAATTTTGACTGGCACTTAACTAGCTTTTAATAAAACCCTTCAAAAGGGAATATTGACTGGCGTGATCTAGATACATAAAAGAAACTATCTCATTGTAATGAATGAGTGCTAGGGCTCACTGTGTTCACCTGAGTAGTGTGACACAGCCTTCTGGAAATGTGAAAAATTACCTTTAAGGGGAACCAAACAACTTAGAACCTGCATAAGAGTGAGAAGAGAAAATAAGGTAGTGAAAAAAAAAGAGTATAAAATTTCTCAGAAAAGCTCTGAAAAATCCCTTCTGATCAGAATGGGCAAAACCTGACTTTGGAAAAGAAAAATAGAAATTCATTCAGCAGTAATCATTCTGATGAAACCTTCCTTTTAGTGGCTCTTCATTGAAAGGGAAGAAGAGTTTCCCACAGTGGTTTTGATTAAAGTCAGTGTCTTACTGCTCCCCTCTGTGTAGCTTGGATTAAATCTAAAGGAAGGAAAAGAGCTGACAGACTGCACCTGGCTCAAGAGAAGCCACAGAGTTGAGGAGATTCAAACACTGTTGTCTCTTCACCTCACTGCCTACCTGCAGAGGCTGAAGAAAGTGTATTTCTTCCTTCTGTGATGAGAGACACGTTCTGAACATGTAATTGGCCTGATCGTTATCCCTCACTGCATCATTCCTGCCGGGACAAATCTGTTTGTGGAAAATCTGCTCCAGCAATGCCTGGTGGTGTTTGAGAGATGAGAAGTGCCAGGACAGGCAAGATGCACAAGAAGCTCCCCTTTGCATGCCCTGTACTCAGCAGCTCTGTTGTTTTGTCCACAGGTCCCACAGTATCAGAAATAGTGATGGGAGAGGTTGGTCAGAACGTCACCGTGCCCTGCTTCTACAGCGTCCGGAGGACACAAGACATCACATCCATGTGCTGGGGTCGGGATAGCTGCCCTAATTCACAGTGTTCTCGGCCCATTGTCTGGACAGATGGATGGAGGGTGACAGAGCAGTACAGCAGCAGGTACCTATTGCGAGGGAACCTGACGAAGGGCGACGTTTCCCTCACGATTGTGAACGCCGAGGAAGCAGACAGTGGGACTTACTGCTGCCGTGTGGAGCACCGGGGGTGGTTCAACGATCAAAAAACTAATCTCAAGGTTGTGATAAGGAAAGGTGAGTACAGAGGTGTGCTCTTGTCTGAGTACCCTTGTGGTAGATCTGCTCTTGGGTCTGGGTTTCAAAGCTTGCGGTGGAGATAGTTTCTACGATCATCCATAAGGCTGATCTTTAGGACCTTGTGGGTCTGCTGTTAGTGCTGTTCAAATTGAGCTGTCTTTGGCAAAGTTCTTATCCCAGCACAGTCACTTCAATTAACAAAAGGATGTGGTACTTTGTTTCACAGTGCACAGCACTACTGAGCTTTCTTAGAATAACTGAAGAGTTTAACAGAAAGGGCAGTACACAGTACTTAGTTCATCCGAAGCATTATCGCTGCACTATTTTCATAGAAAGCCATGTTTGATTTTCCCTGCTTGATTCTAGAGTAAAGCCCAGGGACACAAAATTGATATAGAGAAGTTTTTTATCAACTCTTCCTTTGATTTTTAGTTTTTCTCTTGCTTGTGAAAAGCATGATAATATATGGAACAACTGGCTGACAGAGGTACTTGTGTAGCTGGTGCTAGCAAATCCTTACTGTAGAAGCACTGTCTCTTTTTCACTACATAAATGCACACTAAGGTTAATTATAACATGTGTTGGTTTTGTTTTATTTTTTAACATCAGCTAGGATCTCTACTGCAAGTCCTCACACTTACACCTCTGAACAGACATCAGGTAACTTTTATCCAAGTATTAATCTCAATAGCATATAATAAGGCATATTGCAAATGGGGATCTTAGGAAGGAAACAAAATGATGCTGGATGATAGAAATGTCTTGGCTAAAATTTACTAAACATTACCATAGAATGAAAGATCAGAACTTGGATTTAAATTCTGCCTGATATTATATAAAGAGTCCAACAGAAGGAACATGTATATGTGGGAGGAAGCTTGCTTCCAGGTGTGATACTTTGTGGCTGTTGTTTTGGTTTGTTGGTTTGTTTGGGATATAAAATCTCACCTCTTCGTCTAGAAATGCATTCCCTGAGGAGTAAAACTCAACTTTTGAGGAGTTGGGTGTACCCACTGCTTAATCAGCTAATTTGTTGCTCAATAATATAGAACTGTTTTATTGGAGTAGCTCAAAAGCACATCTAATCCAGGATCCTGTCTCCAGTAGCAGTCAACAGCAGATGATTAAGGAGGATCATAGAAACAGGGCAGTAATTTTGTGATACAGTGCCAAAGTATTCTTCTGCCTTGATATATGATGTGTCTCAGAGGTTGCCCACATCCTCTGTAGCCTGTGAACATTTAAAAACACGAGATCTCTCACTGTAGTAGAAGGGACAGTGCACAACTGTTCCCTACTCAGTTTCTCCATTCCCCTCACAAGTGGATAAATTTCTATCACATACCCGCTCAGCTGCATCTTTTTCAGTCTGAGAAAGACACCTTTAATTTCCATTACACAAGAGAAAGCTCATGGTGTAACAATATTTTCTGGATTCTGAAAGAAAAATCAGGATGCCATTTGTATTTCTCCCTTTGTCTTGGATGTTTCCAGCTAAGCAACTCTAACTTAGGTTGTTACAACAGTTGCATTTCCTTTTCGGAAAAAGAAGTGAAAACTTTCTCAGACTGTTTCTATTCTAGTTGCAAATAATATGGCTTCCCATCTTAGAACTCATGGGTTTTCTTAACCCTGTGACATCTTTGTTGGCTGATGGTGGAACAGTGTTTTAAGGTTTCAGAACACAAGTTAGTATGTGCATGTTCACATAGAGAGAGACTGGAAAAGGCAGCTGGCTGTGTGCCTCTGGTGTAGAAATACTCCAGAGTTTCCAACGGCAGAGAACAGTGAAGCCAATGATCCTGTCCTCTTCAAAATAAAGCTTCTGGGAATAAGGGTAACAATGTAAAACATTAAAGCAACCAGCTAATGTTGTCATAAAGTGAACAGGAGATTTTATTTTTAGGAGGTTTTTATATCATCCGAGAACTCGTGGAGAAACCGAGACTGATGATAAAGAAGTCAGAAGTTTGTAGCTCTTAATTTTAAATATTGCAAACAGCTTTGCTCTGGGAAATTACCTCAAAATATGCTGCACGTCCTTATGCAAATATATCACATTTTGGTCAGTCTGTGTACTGCACAGCTGTCTGGGACTTTAAAGTATCACTTGCTTTTTGACTCTGCATCAGTTGCTGTTTCAAGGCCCTGGGATAACCTTCATCAGTTTTCACCAGATAACCTAAGTTCACTTTAGGCATCATTTTTTGCTTCAAGGCCAGGTTGGATGGGGCATTGAACCACCTGGTCAAGTGGAAGGTGTCCTGTCCTTTGGCAGGGGGATTGGAACTGGGTGATCTTTAAGGTCCCTTTTAACCCAAACCATTTCATGATTCTATAATCCACTGCTTCTTGGCTCCAAACCCAGATGGCTACTGTGATAACTCCTTCCCAGTGTTCACATAACAGCAAGAGCCAAGTGTTTCCTGGAAGGAATTCAAAGCTCTGAAAAGGGCAGCAGAAACTCCAATATTCAGAGCTTTGTGCTGCCCTGTGAAGACACCAACCTCTTTATGATATGCAGAGCCCAGACTACTGATAGACATTTAAGTTCAGTGGTTCCAAGTCAGCAGTACAGATTCCTCTGTGTCAAGGCCGAATGGTTCTTTGTGCAGGTGATGTGTTTGTCTTGTCTTTGCTCAGCTCCTGGAAGCACCAGTGGATCCTCCTTTACCGTCACAGAAACGTGGCCAGCATCTGCCTCAGAAGCTCCTGAGAATGTAAGCATCTCCTTTGCTGCAGCATAGCTGGGCAGAGTGGATAGAAATGAGAGTTTATGGGGTCATCCCTACAGGCACTTCCACTGCTTTTTTTTTGATTGCAACAGAATATTGTTGTTTATAAGAAAGAGTTCTTATAAAAGAGGAGGGGAAAAAACCTGCTTAGCATGCATAAAGTACTTCCTACTAATGGAGGAAGAGCTTTAGCAATATCTGCATTGCCTTTCAGGCCTCTGGTCCCTGCTCTGACACCTCAGACTGCTCAGATGTTACTGCAAACCTGCAGGTATGGCAGGATGTGGGGGAGAGTGGAACTTGGACCACGTGGGAGCACAGGGATGCCCTGCACTTCCTGTGCAGTGGGGTTCAAACAGGCTGTCCTGCCAGACCTCTCCCTGTCCTGCTGAGTCCTCCAGCACGTATTACAGGGTGACAGGCAGTAACAGCACCCAAATTTTATCAGGAAGACCAGCCAGCCAAACCAGCCTTTGGGGAGGCCTGCTGTGATGTAGTCAGACAGTCTGTGCTGTGGGAGTTCATGCTGCTGAATGTGCAGGATGCAAGTCAGGGACCATACTGTGCTTCCAGTGTCTTTCCAGGCCTGAGATACCAATGGCAGATTAGATACTAACAGCTGGCATCAGAAAAAAGTTTAGCCTAAATAAAAAACAATGCAAAGAGAAGGTGCAATTACTTATTGGTATAAAGCCTTGAATAATTGCTGAATAAGCTGATAAGAAGGTGGGAGGGTGTGACATCAGGAGATATTTTGATCACAGAAAAATTCACCAAATGGTATTAAACCTCAATAAATGAGATTTGTCATAACCTCAGATCATTTGACAATCTCAGAAATTTGTTTAACAGCATGGGTCACCTAAATGTTGCAGTGATTCTGCTTTAAACTTGTCCTGTATCTCAGATTAGGCTTTTGGTCTCAAATAGACTTTTCCTGCAGAGTTGCAAAACATATAAATGGCCTTTGAGTGCTGTATGGGCTTCTTGCTGCCGGTTCCACTAATGCTCATCTGCCTTGTGTTTGACAGAACACCTCTGTATCGCTTCCCAGTCAGCAGTATGCAGAAAATGGTCTGTACATTGGGATTGGGTCATGTGCAGTACTTCTGGTCATCCTGATTTTGGCTCTGTTCCTCACTAAACGTAAGTACTTTTCCTAGGCAGTTATTCAAGGATTGCTCAAGTTTGTCCAGTCACAGCTGCGGCAGATGTCACGCGTGTCCCGCTTCGGGGCAGAGAGCTGAGGTCTCTGGATTCCTCACTCGGTCCCTGTGCTGTGGCTGCTCACTCAGCTCTCTCCCTGTGGCCTCTGGGGCCCCGAAGAGCAAGGTGTGAATGTGGCCTCCTCATTTTGTGACTCCTCAGCAGCCAGACAACCCAGGGTGTGGTTGTGCCCTGCTCATTTCCTCCTACCCATTCCGCAGTTCCCTGTTCTCCCAGTTCCTTCCTGAAGATAATTATTTATTTTTGAACACGCTGCTTTACTTGCTTCTAATGGTTTTAAAAAAACTATTTGTTTTTCTTTTTTTTCTTTATTTTCATTCTGGATGGTCCTTAGAATACTTTTACAATACGAAGAAGATGGGTGACTTTGCAAAGTGAGTATTCTGTTCCTGCCTTTGCTGATAGGATAAATGAGGTTGCAGAAAGAGAATGTCAGTATGCTGACCAGTCCACCACATACTTTGACTTTCTTTTTTAATCTCAAGTTAATAGAAAGCATTACAAAAAGAAATTAATAAATTCTGCTACTTTTCATTACTTAGTAAGCAAAAATGAGTAATAACTATCAGTTGATTGCATTAGGGAGCATGCAAACCTCAAGTGTGGAAAGATGATTCATTATCAGTCATGATAATAAGAGTTTATGCATGTTTCACTCTTTCCAGTGAGCTGGTTGATCTGCTCTTCTTGGTTTTATTGTCTGTTTTTTGTTTAAAACCATTATTTTTACTCTTTTGTGCAGCTTCATTGCATTTCAGAGGCCACAAGGTGTGGGGAATCATAATGCCCTGGAAGATGAGATCCATGCAGAGGAAAATGTTTATATTGTACACTAAGGACTGTATTCATGCTTGCCTTTGTCACTGTGGGGACATTAAATAGTTTGCAAAATGTTAGCTGCTCCCTCTGCTCAGCAGCTGCATGTGTCTGCACTACTGAAGCATTACTCACATCATTCTAATAAAACAAATAAAAGCTACACTTGCAATTAAAATCTTTATCAGCCTGTTCCAGAAAGAGAAACTGAAACCCTACTATTTTAAATGGAAATTTCCATTTCCTAAAGAAAGTTACCATTATATTTATTATCTGCTTCAAATTCTCGCTTCCTTTTTGGAAAAAAGAGGAAGTGCCAGAAGGGCAGAATTGACTTCGCTGTGGGTTCTGTCTGCCACCTACCACAGAGCCCGTGCCATCAGAGGGCAGAAGCAGTATCAAAGCTGCTGTGACAAACCTGTCACATGGGAAAACTGGGTAGTATTAGTGATTTAATATACATTTAGTTGGATTTTCAGTGAAGACAGGTATACCCAGTCCTGGTAACAGCTCGGTAATACAATATACTAATTCCTGCCCACCTGCAGTTAAAGCTGGGGGAGCTATGGATGCTCACCCCTCATGGGATGACCTCGGAGCCTACAGCATCAGTACTTCAATGTACAGAATATTCACACCTTGTGTTAAGAGAACTATGACTAAATGTGTTTCTCTCTACAAAATACATCTCTTTTTTTCTGTGGTTTTCTCCTCAGGCCCACCTATACCCTGAGAAGCCCTTGGGGTGGAAAGTCTCACTTCTAGGCATCTAAAACAACTGAACAAATAATACCCACTTTGTAAAGTTAATTAAGTCCTCTTCTTAGCTTATGGAGAAGTCATGGACATGGCACGAAATATTGGTTTGAAGTTGGCCTGCCTTCACACCCCTCTAAATACCAAACAACTAATTCATAAGAATGCTGAATGTATTTGATGGATTTTAGCCCATAAATACAGAGAATCTGTGGTTGAAGTCTTTCCTCCATTGCTCCTCAGTTAGTGATGTGTCTCAGCTCTTACTCTCTGCAAAACTAAACTTTGGTTTACTTTAAATAAAAAAAATGGAAGCAGCCCCATGAGTATGAATCAATCCCTTAAGCATTGTTAAGCAGGAGATAAAAGACCAAAATCATCTTTGAGTGGAAGAATAATTTTCATCAATTGTTTTTAAGAACACATTTTAAACAGGGGCTGGGGACTGAAAGAGCAGAAAAGTAGCAGAGGCAGGAGAGAGACCAACTCTTACCAAATACTGGTCAGTACATTTTTCCCTGAAGCCCATCCCAAGCAGCAGTGTGGAATTATCTAGTGCAGACATTGCTGTCACGGGGAAGATTCACAGATGTACCACAGACTTTCTACCATTGAGTTATTTTTCAGCTTCAAAATCATTTTCAACTATGCAATGAGGCATAAAGGTGAAATAATGAAATCAGCAGGTATTTATGTCAACAGCTGAGACGCTTTGAGGCCACGGTCTGGTTGTATTTAAGGGGAGCCGGGGTCAGTGGAGCAGTTACCCCTCCCTCTCCCAGCTGGTAGAGAGGGGAGGGCTTGGGTTGGCTGGGGAGGGGAGTGGTTCCCCAAGAGCCCTGGCTGAGGTGGGATCTTGCAGGTGAGTGTGCTTGCAAATAGTCACAAAGGAGGGAAAGGCTCCTCATCTTGTTGAGGAAGGAAGAACTGGAAAGCAAACTGGGACAGGTGACCCTGGTGTGCTCTGTATTTCACTCGTGCTGGGCGTTCTCTTGGGGCTCTCTGTTGCAGCAGGGCTGAAAGTTTGAAAATGTGGAGGTGGGTTCATGGCTGACTGAAGTGCTCCATGTGGGAGCAGAGCTATTACTGTTCCCAGGGGCAGGAAAATTATGGACAACACCAGCTCTGCCATCTTCTGTCTTCATGTCATGTGTAGCTTTGTGTAAGAAGGTACCGAAACTAGAAAGCACCTGCTGGTGTTAGACTGTATTTTTGCATTTGACTATTAATAACAATTACTGACCTAAAATCACTGCCTCTGCTGAAGACATTGCTTTTCTTCTGCCTGGCAGAACGTGTTGCTGCTGTGGGCTCTAGCCTGTGACTGGAGATGGAGGAAGTCTGATCTGGTCTCTGAACTAGATCTCAGAAAGCATCTTCAGCAATTTCTGCTTTCTGCAATTTTATGAAATTGGTCTCTGCTGGGGTCAGAGTTAGACACTTGTAGGGTTTCCAAAATCATCTGATTGCAACCACCCCTGCTCTTACAGGGTTTGTGGGCCAGCTTTAAGACTGCTAATCATGAAAAATGCTTGTCCATAAGGGTTTTTTTAATATAAATATTTTAGACTAAATCAGACTAATTATTATATCAGCAACTTTTACAGGTAAAATAAAGTTCTAAAATATCTGATAACCAAAATCTTGAATAAAGTCTCCTTTCTCCTGTGCAGTTACTTGGTAAACAGACTTCGCAAAGATTGTGCAGAGCAAGAAGTTTGCAGTATAATACACACAAATCCATGCAGGCAGAAGCTCCCTGTGCTTTTTCATTACTTCCACTTGTGCCAGTGGATCTTGGAACAGGCACTTCAAAATGAGTCCCAGGTGGCACTTGGAACCTTTTCACACATTAAGAGATTGTCCAGCTGCACAAACTGGCAGCACACTGAGCTGATGAGGCTGACGAGCTGCAAAATGATTTTTTTTTTTTTGAGACAACTCTCTGCCTGTCCTTTTCTGCCTGCAACAAGCCACTAGATAGCAGTACAGAAGCAGAAGGCAAGCCATGTTTTTCTGGTTCTTCCCAGCACACTTGGATTTTGGATGGCCCTTTTCAATGCACTCTGCTGCATTTAGCCCAGTCTTGCTGTAGAAACAAAACTGATCCAATGCCACGTTCGTACTGCTCCTTCCTTAGTTGCCTGGAACACATGATCGATTCTGTTTGGACAACCTCCGTGGAAATTTGTCACTGAATAAAGACCCAAATTTGTCCCCCAGGTGAGATTGAGCTTCTCCCTGCACTGGCATTAGCTGGACATCAGCTCGCAGCCACTGCTTAGTGGTGAGTAACAGGAGAAACAAGGATCGTTGTAGGGGAAAAGTCTCCAGGATATTGGATGCTCCAGGTTTCATTAGTTCTGTTAACAGAACAGCTGGGGCTGTGTGTAAATGACATTGTATGAACTGTATCTGGTAGAATATAGCAAATAAGGTATTTTACTCGTTGCCTTAACTGCTAAAATTTTATTTGATTTTTTCAATGCTAGCAAGCAGAAGAGTGATATTTTCATGGGCTTGACTGTTCATGATAAGCCCAAAATCTCGTTACTAAAGGTGTAATGCCTGGCTAAAAGCCCATCACTTTATTGTTTGAACTTGGAATTGCATTCTTGTTTTACTCCGTGCTATATTTATTTGCACTGAATTTTGACTATCTGAAATTCTTCAATCCTGAACTTAATGTCTTGAATTTTTACTTTAGTGCTAAGCTTGTCCAGAGAAGAACTTCCAGAGAAGTTCTTTATTAAGTGGGCAGAAAGTTAAAAAGCAGCCAGAAAGAGTAGAAAATATTTCTTGAAGATGATGTTGCAAATCTTTGGGAAGGATGTGGTTTTGGCCAAGGAAACATTTGTGAGATTTCCTCCAAGGCTGTCTTTGCAAATAGAAAATAAGAACCTGGGGAAAGAGAGGAGTCTTCAAGCAGAAATCAGAATCAGGGGAAAGGAGGGATTAAATGAATGTAACTGAAGACAAAGTCAGAGGTGGAGACTATGCCAAATGTTTAGGAGTCCAGGAGCACAGAATGTGTTCTTGCTATTCAGCACTGTGCAACAGTAATGAGCCTTAAGAGATCTATGGAATGGCCAGACAAATTCAATATTGAAGTTTCTGGTGGTAGTACCATGCTGAGTGTCTCAGAAGAGGAAGGGAGAATAGGATGACCTGTTCCACTGTTTGACCACCCTCTCGGTAAAGAAATGCTTCCCAATGTCCAGTCTAAACCTCCCCTGATGAGCTTGGAATCATTCCCATGTGTCCTTGACTTGGTACCAGGGAGAAAAGATCAACATTTCCCTGTCCATATCCCCTGCTCAGGAAGCTGCAAAGAGCTGTGAGGTTGCCTCTCAGCCTCCTTTTCTCCAAACTAGACAAATCCAGAGTCCTCAGCTGCTCCTCACAGGATGTGCCTTCCAGCCCTGCCACCTGCTCTGTTGGTCTCCTCTGGGTGCCCTCAAGTACCTGAATGTCCTTCCTAAATTGTGGGGCCCCAAACTGCATACAGTGCTCACACTGAGGCTGCACCAGTGCTGAATACAGCAGGACATCCCCTCTTTTGACCAGTTCCCATCCGGAAGTGTAGGACAGAAACAGTTGCAGTGTGTAAAATCTGGAAATGGAGAAATGAGACTCCAGTGGGGCTCACTCAGCGTCTCTGGGAAGGATAAGATCTACTTTTCTCTTCTTCCACTTGCTGCCCTGGAGTCTCCATCGACTAAAATGACCAATTTTGTGCTGTTTCACTGGATTCTGATACAGATCTTTATAGGTGAGTCTTCACCTGCTTTTTTTGTGCTTGCTAAAAACCAAAAAAGTTTTAAAAATTAAAATCAACAACACTTGTTTTGTGAAAACAAAACATTGAAAAAGACCATAATTGTATACAGAACTTTGAAAGTTTTCTTAATTTACTGAGTTAATACTGGTTGAGGTTTGATTTTTTTCACTTTTTAAAAATGTATGCAGATTCCTCTGTGTATAGGCTTGGTTAGTTTCCTCATTCTCTTCCCTTGCAGAGCTCCTGAAGGATGGGAAGGGTTTTTGTGGCCAGTGAAATGCTTCTTTTCTGTATATCAGTCATATCCTCTGCAATTGCATCAGTATAGAACCTTCGATAAGAAAAGAAAATGATAGGGCAAAGATGCCAAATATCTTCTTCAAAGTAGGAAAATTATTCCAGAAATAGATCAAGGGGAAAAAAATTCTTTTTTCAACCAGCTGTCTTGGCTGGAGGATGTATGTTTTTATCTATCCAATGACTAGTTTGTGGGAGAGAAGACCACTACAATAGCAACTATTGGGGTTACTGCTTAATGCCAACTGTCAATGAGGATGGGTTCAAGAGACACTATGTACAAATATGTGTGTACTTGTAGGATCTGAACAATTGTGAATACCCCTTTCTAATTTGAATGATATATTAAACATCTGGAGCCTGGTTCTCTCTCACTGATGAAGGACTTAGAGCAGGAAACCTCACAGACTTCAGTGGGACCACCCAGGCAGAGCTGATGCTCAAGGTGCTCTGGGTCAAATTTGGAGGCCTGGAGGGTAACTGCCATGGAGAAGGACAGGATTCCTCTCACAGTGAGACTAGGGTGTCACAATAAAACCCTTTCCTTATTTCAGACGCGTTCATTCAGTCCTATTTACTATTTCCTTGGGAAAAGGTGTCTGTGGAAGAGGCTTTAGCTGAGAAGTAAGTTTTTCAATCCTTGCAGAGGTTCATACTGTTGAATCCAGGCTGCTGCAGTACTGAAGCTTTCCACACCAACCTGCAGTGCAGGCAGATGTTGGCAACATTCGCTTCACGGAAATTAAAAGAGGATTTGAAACTGCAAAACCTGTAACTTTCTAGCATAACACTAGTGGGAAACTGCACTGGAGACACTCTGGTGCCTTGTGTCTTCCCTATTCTTCTTTTAATTTATTTACTTAGTTATTTGTTTACTACATCCAGGGCTCTGCTCCTTTCAAAGGGAAGAGCAGGCAAATTTTCATTTGTTAAAGGGCTGCCTAACAAAGCTTCTTTAGTACTGTGCAGAACCAGGGTGAAATAAGAGCAGAAGATGAACCCATTTCTCCTCAAGAAGCAGCAACCTTTATTCTAGCAACAGTTTTAGCTGGTTTTGCATGTATCATTGTTGGGCTGGCTTGAAAATATGTGTTAACTCAGTGACTAACCCCTTGCTCCCATAGAAATACTTTCAAGGTCAAGTGAATGCTTTGTTCTGTGATCGCAGAAAGAGGCTGTTTGCTGTTTTTTTGTAACAAGGCAAACGAACCTCCCTTTTCTAAGGACACTATCTTGCACAGCTTTATCCTGTTTCTGGCATATCCTACCATCATTTCACTGCAAAAACTTCTACCCTTCACACCATATTGCTTGTTGTTTTGTCTACCTCTATTCTTCTAGCGTTTGGAGCTGTGGAAACCTGAACAAGTTGGCTTATCTTGCCAATGGGATAAGCAATAATGAATCTGAAATGTCATCCCAATAACAAGTCATGAGGCAGCCTGCCACAGACTAAAACCTCACCTAGGGAATAGTCCGTTAAAGACAAAACAAAAGAGACATGGACACAGTTGGAAGCATCTGTTTGCTATCTGGGAGTCGTGCCAAGAAGGAAAGGTATTCAAACAGCTGGCAAAATAGAAATGTTTGGCAAACCAGGGCCAAAGCTGGAGACAATAGCAGCACCAGCAACTGTAAGTCCTCTTTGGGGTAAGCAAGCTGGCCATGAAACATCAGATCTGCAGGATGATCCTCTTGCTGAAGCAGAGGACAGGTCTGGTTGCTCCCCAGATCCCTCAATTCCTGCTCCACCATATGTAGAGGATAAAATGGGGACAAAAGGCAAAAAGGTAGGATGACTAATACAGACTAGATGAATGTAAACCAGCAAATATTTATTCCTATATGGGAATCTGTTTTGTAGAGTGCTTTTCATGAAGAAGAAATCTGTTTTAGGGCAATCTGGGAACTGCATAGGCAGCTAAGAGGGAACAATCTATAGCAAAGATTCCAGCCAGGTGCCACGTTGGGAATTGGTTGTTAACACCAACTAAAGCTGGCCATTAAGAGTAAAAGGATAAGAAAAGCATGTATATGCTCTTTTAAACATCAGTGTAACACTGGCAGCTAAAGCTTCTGTGTACACAGTGCTTAGCAAGGTAAGTGGGAGGGTTGGCAGTGCACTTTCTGAGAACAGGTTCACACAGACAGATCCCACTGCTCTGCCAGCTTAATTAGGCCCTAATTTCACACATGAATAGATGTTTTGGACTCTGCTTTTGAGGCTGTCAATGAAAGGCAACTGTGACAGCATTTCTTTTTTGAAGGAGATGATGGTGTGGACTGAGAGAACCAGATGTCTTTCACACCATGTTTCTGAACAACTTTCAAACAGCCTCCTAGGTGAGGAGATGGGATGGGAGCAGAGTTCCCAAAATCCACTTGCCTAGGTCCCGTCTATGCTTGGGCTGCCAGCGACAGACCTCAGCTTCACTCACCACATGCCTGACGCGAGTGATGTGTTTCATGAGCCTCCCTCCAGCAGCTGGCTGGGGCCAGAGCATGGAGCCCTCCAGCAGCAAGCAAAGCCTGTGGGCTCCTGGCTGTCACCTGTAGTGCCCAAGGCCATGATCTGCTACAGGCTCCAGGAGAAGCCTTGGGGGATCAGCAGTGTGGCCTGCCCGCAGGCAGGAGTGTTTCTTCACCTGCCTCATTGTGTTGTGTAGGTTGAGTCACTCACTGGAGACTGACAGCTCTCACCTTTCCTTGTTCTCCCTTGGCAGCACACACGGCATCCCAAACTGTTGTCAGAGCAGTGACAGGGCAGCCTGTCAAGCTGCCTTGTGACTACCAGGTGACTCGGCGTACGGGCATCTCCGATGTGTGCTGGGGCAGAGGCTCCTGCCCAAATTCAAAGTGCAAGAACACCATTTTGGAAACCCATGGAAGTACGGTGAGATCCAGAAAATCTCGGAGATACGACCTCCAGGGCTCTATTTCCACTGGAGATGTGTCTCTCACGATTGGGACGGTGGAGGCAGGAGATGCCGGTGTGTACTGCTGCCGTGTGGAGATCCCGGGATTGTTCAATGACATCAAGAAGAACATACGGCTGGAGGTGGCCAGAGGTGAGTCTGGGGACCCTGGTGATACAGCCAGCAGGGAGAAACCTCTCCCTGGATAGTGAAAATCAGACCTTATGTGTACTTTCGGTGTTTTTTTGGCCAAAAATATTTTTCCTAAATTACATAGTTTTCAAGGGAGATCTGCAGCTAGTTGCCAATTTGAGTCATATTTCATATACGGTTTAGATGAAAAAAAAAAACAACTTTACCCTTTTTTTAAATTTTTTCAAATTAAATATTTTATTTCTCATTCTGTAACTGCATTTGAATTTTTAAAATATGATGGAATTATAAGAGGAACTTATAATTTGAACTGTTCTTGGAATGAAATTCAGTTTTTCATTTGGGTTCCACCCAACACTGCAAAGACTTCTGTTTCATTCATGTCATAAGGAGACCCACTGTGACTACCCACCCTTAAGGGTACTTCCTTCCCCTTAAGGGTGGGTCGTCACACCCACATATTTGGAAATTATGTCTCAGAGTCTTGAAGGATTTCTTCCCCTTCCTACTATTTTTCTGAGCTGCAGGATAAAGCAAGGTCTTACACAGGAAAAAAAAATTATACCCACCCTCCATGCTGCAGAAAGACAATTTTTTGGGGACTTTTACAGAGTGCAATTGGTGAACACAGCAGGTTTGCTTTTCTGTTCTAAGCAATACAACAGGAAAGTGGGTGAAAAGTGCTGCAACTGCATGTCTGTCCCTGAGTTTGATAGCAACAGAATCTGTTAAAAAAAAAGGACTGGTTGTAAAGATTAACAAGAAGCTCATAGCTGAAAAATCAAACTATTTTATTTATTTTATTTTTATGAGGACATTGGAAAGCAAAATCACGAAATTTGCAAGGTTTTGGATTCTACCATGCAAAATTCTGACCCTTCCATTTCTACAAGAGGGTCAAGGGGTGGGTGTTTGAGACCTGCCAAAAAAAAAAAAAAAAGCAGATCTCTAAATCTGTGAAATTCTCTGGTGGGTCATGTCTTCTGCTAATGAAGCTTTCTGAATAATGACTCTTCCACCTCTATTCTCAGTGTCTGAGTAGCTAGGGAATTTTCATTCTTTTCTGGGTTGCTTTCCCTCAGGGTTGGTTGTGACTGCTCTGATCTGGCTTTTCTCTTGTCTGTGTTTTTTCCATGCAGCCCCTCCAGTGACGACAACCACCACGAGAAAGGCTCCCGTTTCCCCCAAAGGTGTTAGAAAAACAACTTTTGCTCCCCAGGCAACCTCTGGTCTTCAGCCAACAGCAGAGACTGCTGTCCTCCTGACAACCACAAGCACCGAGTCTCCAGCTGTAACTACACTGGAGACCGTTGCTCCTCCAACAATTCCTATGACAGAAAATTATACTTTTCCAGTAACCATGGTGACAACCAGTGCTCCCCTGGATTCTTCAGCTATCTCCCATGAAGATGACATGTTTTGTGTCACAGAGCCTGGTCCCCTTCCTGGAAGTACAGAGGGTAATCAACACCAATCTTTTCCTTTTTCTCTATAGCAGAGGTGATCTCTGTGAGCGTGACTGTCACTATAGACACTCTCCAAATACTTATATTTGTACCTGGAAAGTTTTCTCTGAGATACCTGTAGGTATGTCTCAGTGGGTTTAAGGAAACATGGGCCAGGTGTTGTAGGTAATGCTAAACTGGCATGAACAACCAAGATAGCAGAGGATCAGACTTCATTCAGAGGAGTTTTAGCAGCCTAGAGAAATAATGTGACAGAAACTTCATGAAGTGCAACAGAAATAAATGCCAAGTCTGGCTCCTGAGGTGGAGTAAGAGAGATTCACCTAACTATTTTTTTTCTTGATTTGGGAAAGACAATTGAAATGATCTGGTGAAAAGGTTAATTTAGAACATGTTCTGCTTGAGCAATAAAGTCATTGAGAATTCAAAACATGTTAAAATAGAAGGCTGCTTCTATTATTAGTAGTCAGAGTGACCTGTTATCATCCTAACCATTCCTAGGTTGCTACTTTATCCTCATTAGTGACTTCTTTTCCATGGATAGATGACTGCACAATTTTGAATGCCATATGGAGACCCTCCTAATCAGTAATCTTTATAAGCATTACTTTTTACTTTGTTTCAGTGACTACTGAATTCCCAAATATACTCCTGACTGAAGAGGGAAGTACAAGTGCTGACACCTCTGTCATGATGGAAAAGGTGCCAAACGCAGGTGAGTAGGATACATTGCAAGGTCAGAAGTTGCTGGTTCAGAGAAATTAAGAAGTTGGCATAAATAAAAGTATTGATTATTCCTAAGAGTGTACTAAACACATACTGGTAGTTATTCATTGCATCTGGCAGTAAGAAGTATCTGGGGTCCACACAGAAATTGTTTCAAATCAGGATGTAACAACAGCTGAGAAAAACATGGTTTTAAGCCTCCAAAGAAAGTAGATTTTGAGTCACTCACTATTGTTGGGTATCTCAGGTATGAGAGAAGTTAAAAACTGAACTTTTCAGCATCCAAGCTGAATTTTCAGATATCTGATTTGTCATCTCTGTGAGTCCTTTGAGCTTTCCATTTTAAATCCTTCCTGAGTGTTCTGAGCTTTGAACCTCACTGAATATATTCAGCCAGATATGTCTGCAAGCTCAGCTCTCCATGCTCAACACATCTCCTTGGTCGTGATGGAAAGCAGTAGGCAATTACCACAACTATCAATCATGGGAAAAAGAACTGGCACACAAGATCATACATATCTGAGAAATTAATAAACTTACATGAAGTTTGCACTTTATGTCTCTCAGTCAAGTATTCAAGTAGAATGGCACAAGTTATTCAGGTCTGATAGTTTGCTCACCAGATGCCCTCAAATGAGGACCTAAAAAATGAAAACTAAACTTCAAGGATGACACGTTTGGCCTTTCAGTTTCAATAAGTGCCAAGAATCTCTTAATTTTTAAAACCACAGCATTTAGAGTTTTACAGGTCTTCTTTTGTTAGACCTAGAGACTTGCAGCAGAAATAATGTTCTTTAATGCCCCTGGAGAGGGCTCACAGAAGAGACTAAATTGGTCTCCTAAGCATTTGTGAGGGTTTCTCACTCCTGTCTCACTTGTCGTCCTTCTGATATAGGACTGGATAATGCCTGGATTCTGCAATAGTAAATAGGAAGTTTTGCAAAGGGTCTTAGCTCTGGGATTCTTGTGTGCTAGAAAGAGCCACCACAAAAGCAATAACAGCAGAAGATGCACTGAGCTGATGTGAGTCACCTACACCCCCACCCGTGTGAAAACTTGTGTCAAACTGTCACAAGGTGTGAAAATGCTGAGGCACAACTGACTGCTGTCTAGTAAGAGCAATAAGCCAAGTTCAGTTCTTGACTCAGTCTCCTTTCACTCTGTGAAATAATGCACTAAATGGACCAACCTCAGCCTTACTGTAATGTAAGGGAAGGCTAATTTGTTGCTGAACATTATACTGATGTTAGCACGGTGGAAGAGAAACCCATGGTTGAGAGCCCTCCATCTCAAAGCCCAATTCTTGACAGATAGGTTGGGTTAGCAGGGGTGGGATGGTTCCTGCTGATCAGACTCTGATTCAGTTTTTCTTCTGTATTCCCTTGCTTTCCCCCAGCAACAACCCTGCCAGCACCAGCCACACTTCAGTACCTCAAAACCCACTTGAAAGATCAAGACTCAAAGTGAGCAGCAATAGTTGCTCCCATCAGCCAGGCTGCAGCATATTGAGACAAAGTTAAACTTTGACTTTGTGGGGCCCTCATGTCACGTTTGAGATCTGCACTTCTGGTGTATTTGGGGGTAGTTCTGCCAAACTACAGAGCTTCTCTTCTGAGAGAGTGAAGTGTCATAAAACAGGTGTATGACAAAATGCTGTGTTCACATATCCCTGGGATTTTTAGTAGTTCTTAGGGTTTTATTACCTGTGTTTGTTTAGCTCTAGTGCTTATTAGTCATAATCACTTTTCTACTCCAGTGCAAATTTCTAGCTACTCTGGCATGCATATGAGCTACCCATGCCCTGTCCATGTCTTTGATAAAATATGAGCATATGGTATATAGAGACACATCAACATAGCTGTCATAAGAAACTGAAATATTTGGGACAGATTAGGTTAATGACTGGATTACATACTCTGATAAGTTAATAAAAAAGAGCCAATTTTTTTTTTAACTTATAGGATCATATTTTGGAGAGAGACTATTTACAAGAGTACGCAGTGACAGGACAAGGGGGAATAGCTTGCCATTGGTAGAGAGTAGGTTTAGGTAAGATATTAGGAAAAAATTCTTTACCAGGAGAGTGGTGAGTCACCGGAATAGGTTGCCCAGAGAAGTTGTGAATGCTCCATCCCTGGAATTGTTTCAGACCAGGTTGAATGGAGCTCTGAGCAACGTGGTCTAGTGGAAGGTGTCCCTGCCCATGGCAGGGATTTGGAACTAGATGATCTTTAAGATCCTTCCCAACCCAAACCATTCTGACTCTATGACTTGTGACCCCCTGCTCACCCTCAGCTCTGTGTGACGCTGCGGGTGCCTCGTGCGTACAAAGGTTCCTTTGGCTGGGTCTCTGTCACCTCAAGCCTCTGACATAGAGATGCCTTGGCAATGACTCATCTGGTCCCTGGTACATTTTGCTCAGATGGAGACTCCATGGTTGTTCTCTTGTCAAACCTTTGCAAGCACTACTCGTTGCGGTGTTTCTACTCAATGGGGCACGACCTAAGGCATAGGAACTCTCCTGTCATAGGGTATAAGCTGAGGTTTTGTTTCACTAAGCTGAGTGACTCTTCTGTTTTTAAGATGCTGCTTAACACTGGTACTTCAAGTGCTCCAAATACTTAAATACTTCAGCACCTTGCAGCGTGATGTTTATGACGATCCAAAGCTCAAGCCTAGATTAATTTTTATGTCCTTAAATTTACTAGCAAAGGCAATAGATTAGGATCATAGAGTAACAGCAGAAAAATTTGCTGTGAGAGTTCTTGAGCGTTCTTGAAGTTTGTCCCTGTTTCCAAAGTTAAGAAAACTTGAAGTAAATTATTCTGAATAACCCTAGATAGAAAAAAAAAAAAGAAAAAGAAAAAGTGCATCATCTTCATAGAGCTTTCTTATATCTGAATATAAAAATGTTTCCTGTGGTCATGTGGCTTTCAAAACCTGTAATCATCTAAGTCTGACCACAATTAAACTGAGGCAGTTCCTCCACTTAACCATATACCTTTTTTACTACCTCTGCTGTCCATGACATCTTGTCATGTTACAGAAGTGAGAACTCCTTCACAGCAGACAAGTTTCTACCATTTTCTACCATCTTGCTTCATGTGCTGCCCCTGGGAAGCCTCCTCTTTCTTGATGAAGACTGACATTTCCCAATAGCTTCCTCAGCTACTACTTGTGGTGGAAACTGGTTGTTCTCTTTCGGTGCAAGGTGCTTTGTTTCTCCTACTCGGGGTCAGATTTTACCCTCCTCATTCCCTGAGAGTTCATCACTCCTTGACTGAAGCAGTGACAGCCACAGTAGCCCTCACTCCTTCAGGTGACTGTGCCAGTAACAATTTCAATCTCTTTCATTTTCAGGGATTTCAGCAAATTCAGATGTCAAGGCTGAGCAACATGATGATAGTGGAGATAAGGTAAAACTTCCTGTAAGCTTCAAGAGTGTTTGAGTAGAAATCAGAAGGACAGCAGGACATGATAATGATTTTTAATGTATTCATACTAAAGGGGACAGCTTTTGCAAACAGTAGCTTGAACTTTTGTTTAGAAGCCCAGGAACCATCTGTTCATTTTTTCCAGTGGATAGAGCCAAAGCCTGTGAGCATCCCATCTGGCTTGGACACTTCAGAAAAAACTCATCCCCCTGACACCCCGGTAAGAGAGGCAGAGGATGCAAAAGGCAATTTAGGAGGGTGTTACACTTCCCTGTGTCTAATTAAGAGGAGGATGAGGGTGAATAAGCTCCTACTTTAGACACATTATTAAGAAGTGCATGTTAAGTGGGATGAATCCAGCTTCAATATTTCAGAAGAAGATTTATTTGATACTGAACAGGTTGTTTATCATGATCAACTTGATGTGTCTTCTCTGCTTTGTACTGACAAGCTCAGAAAAGCCCAATGCAGATAGTTCAGTGCTCTAAGCCAGTAGCACAACCCCCTCCTGTGTGAGTAGCTCTGAAGTAAACAGGCTCCTAAAGCCTTTTCAGTTTTTCTCTTCTCCCTTCCAGTTTCCCAGCTCTGTCATTCTCATTGCCTGTGTCACAGCGGGGGCCATTCTTTTCGTGTTGATGTTCTCACTGTTTTGGAAACGTAAGTATCCTTAAGCACATAATTGACAAATGATTCTAACACTGGCCAGATGCACATGTCCCTCTGTGTCTCTGGTTAATCTTCTGGGAACTCTGCCATGGCCCTTGTGACAGTGCTCTGTTCGTTTCTTGGGCGTTGCTGTCCTTACTCCAGCACTGTGTCACCACAAGGAGACCAGGGAGCATGGTTTGGTGGGGATGAAGCAGGAGAAGGCCTGTGCAAAGAACTTTTTCACTCACTTGTGGCAGGTCTGGCTCATCTTGTTGGCTCTTTCTTTATAGCTTATTCATCCCATAGTTTCCTGGAATTGCTCCTGAAAGACATTGGTGTAACCGAAATCAGAATGAGAACCTTTCTTTCCTGCTTAGCCCACAGAAATTTTGCAACTTGCTATCATTGCTTTTGAACTCATTTGACAGATACATTAGAATTATAGATTTTGTTTTGCCGTTGTGACGTTAATATTATTTTGCTTCTAGGTAAACACGTAAAGAAACTTATAATAAAAAGGTAATCCATTTTGTAATTTCCTATTAAAAGTTCCAGTGTAATTTTTCTTAGAGACAGGAAGGTATTGGCCAGTGATTGTAATGGGTGTAGTATTGGCTTGGGGTGCTGACTACAGGAAGCTTCAGATAATTTCACTGCAGAAGATCAAAGAGTGTTTCCTGGATACTGCTTTTCTGTACCACTAGAGAACTTAAGCAGCTGGTACTTACTGTGTACTGACCTCAGCTTAAGGAAGTACCTCATCTGCTTTATTTTTGATCTAATACTAGGGAACTGAATACCTGTGCAGGTGTAACTGATCAGTTCATGTCTTCTGGCTTATCTTGAAAAAAAGGATTTTCTGTGGACAAACCACAGTGTTGTCAGTAAAATATCATCCCTTTTTCAAAGACCAATAATGTTTCAATGGTAGATGGTCCCTCACTGCATACTCCACCTCGGAGATAGGCATTGGGGGCCAAGGAGAGACTTTTCTGAATCCCATGGTGGTTACCCCACAGTCATTGTGAGATCTGAACAGGCCTTTCCTATCCATTGCAAGCAAGGTAAATATTTCTCTGATGTAAAAAGTGGGTGTTGCTCCATTTCATTTAGTGGACTCAGTAGCTTCAGGTTTCTGTTTCAATGGGAATTTGCTGATGTTACAAATCAGAAAGGATACTCTGAAAGAACAAAATCCTTTTGCTCCATCCATAGTGATCTGTGCTTCTCACTGCAGTGTTGGACCTCCAGAAGAGCGTGAGAAAGTTTTCAGTGGTGCCGAAGGAGAAAACAGCATTTTTTCCCTGTGAAGACCTCGTACATTATCTGTAGATGCTGTGGAAAATAAAAAGGGCCTGTTTCATGCTGCACTAAGAGATGCTTATGAGTCTCCAAAATATCAATGGGTGTAAACCACAGGCCAGAGCTTCAACTACAAAAATTTAAAATCTTCATGCAAATTATACCATATCACCCTTAACACTCATTGCATAAAGAAGCTTATTTGAGAAGGGGCTTTATGCATTATTCATGGATGCTTCTGGTATCTGCCTTCTTACTAACACCATGTTGCGCAATTGAATTTATTTTTCTCCATTTTTGCTAATGCTCTTCTTTGAATACAACTTATACTGTGAGGAAGAGAAAAGATATTACATGGAAGGCTGCCTATCTTCAAATTGCCAAAAGGAAAGAAAAAAATCAGAAACTATAGTTCTTATTGCTTTCATGTAATCAACAGAAAAATTAGCTACAAGAATGCTGTGAGTTTAAATCAAAAATGCAGACTACTTAAGAGGTACCAATAGTGCCTGTGATTCAGCATGTTTGAATGACCCTTGGAGATTATGTTAATAAACTTTTAATTTACCACTGGCAATTGTATTTTTATGCCACATCCTAAGGTATGTGAACAGGAGTTAGTTATTCCCCAGGTGTTGAAATGACTGGTGTGCCATCTCAGCTCTCCAAAGAACTACTGCAGCATTCCCAGAGGTGGGAAAATGCCCAGAAGACCAACCTGGAGGCTACCCTGCTCCCACAAGCCCTCATACCACTCATTCCTATATCCGTTAGTGAGGAGGGACTGGCCTTGGAGGCTGGGGGGATCCCCTGTGGGATATGCTCCAGAGTTTTTGTGTGTCTCACTGGAGCCCTCACCGATTCTGCTGCAGTGACTGTGGGAATGGCATGGGAGAAGGTTCAAATCCATGACACTGTTTGTTACCTCTGTTGCCTGGAGTTCACCAGGGCCAGCTATGGCACTTCTGGGCAGCAACAACTTGAAGTAAGAGCACACTGTAGGAATAGCATTTGGTCAGAGGGAAACGTGTGGCAGCTCTGGACTTCCCCACCAGTCATGCTCAGGGCTGTGGTGAGACTTTTGGATCCTCCAGCATCCTCTCACGGGCTGTAAGTTGGGGGAGGTTCCTCTTTGGGGTCCCTCTTGGTCTCGTCTGGGTTCAGCACCCTGGTCTAGTGGTGTTGTGGGAGGCAGAGGAGAGTCCCCAGACAGTGGATGTGGCTCCAGGCTGGGTTTGCTCAGCTGAGCCCTGTGACTGTCACACTGATCACTGCCCCAACACACAGCACATGCTGAGCCTGGGGCCTGGCTCCTGGCACTTCTAGGCAGGAATCCCACACAAATCTGAAAGGAATAAAAGGAAAAAAAATCCCAAACGGTTTTGACGTACTCCTTTGAAAAACCCAAACTTTAATTGTTGCCTTTTTTACCTGTCCAATGAAACCTGCTAATTAAGGCAGCAACAGCTCCGTTGCTGCTCCAATTGGCAGAGCTGGGCCAATCCTTTTGCTCTTATTAATTAGCTCTTCACTAATGACTTCTTTACAGCAGAGCTGGCTCTCACTTGGGAAGGTTCCAGCATATTTGCTGCGGTGCTGGCTGGACTTGAAGGCTCTGCTTTTGGGGAGCTGCACAAAGGGAAGAAGAGATGGGAGCCAACAAAGTGAGTTTGATCTGATCAGCCATGTGGAAATGCAGCCCAGAGATGCTGTAGCAATGCTGTAAGTTCAACCTATGTTGCTGAGTGTTTTTATTTATCTTTTATCCGCCCCAATTACTGAGGCAGAGGTTTAGGTTTAGAGTGGCAATTGGAAGCAAGGAATCTGGGAGGGTTACATCTAAATGAAAATACACTGAAGTTATTTGTGAGGAACTGACTCTGGCTGTCAGTATGTTCAGGGAAAGGTTAAAGGGAGCCTTTTAAAATGTAGCTGGAGGAAACAGAAATGCTGCTTTCCAAAAGCAACAGAAGCCCCAGAATACAGTCTTTGGGTCCAGTGGAAAAAAACTAGATGAAAGCAGCACATATTTAGAGAGAAAAGGCTGTTGGAGAGGATGTCATTGGCATCTGGAAATGCTGGCCTTTATTTTTTAAAGACTTTTACCTTGGAAGGCAAAGAAATGCACTTGAGTAAAGATAAAGCACTGTAGCCAAGAAAACCTTCTGTTAACAGATTAAAACAATACACAGGGCAAAGGAGCAAAGTTGTTTGCTTTAAAACTGTCATGCATTTCCCCAAAACTCCAGTGCCCCCACCACCTTTCAAACTTCTAAGCACCAAGACTTGAAATTGCTCAGGTTTGAGGCCTCTCCTCAGCACTCCAAGCTGCTGGAGTTATCTCAGCATTTATGGACTTGCACTGGGAGCCTGTGGCAGAACAAAGTAGGTTTTAATTTTTTCAGAGTCCATGTCAAACCTAAATGGTGTTGTATCTGGGGAGTCTGGCTCAGCTCCATGGAGCAAGGCAGTTAATTAATGAAAGATTTAGCTTTTGGTCCAAGTAATAATTTTTACTGGCCCCCAATACTTTATGGACAATTGTCTGTATCAAAATGACCGATTAAACAGGGTAAAGGAGGTCTGACGTGAGGAGATAATGACTGAACTACCCGATTAGTGTGGAGGAGGTACAGAAAAGCAATTAAAAAGGGAGAGTTGAATATTTTGGGATATGGGATTGACTAATGAGAAAACAGGAGGAAATACTGAAAATAAAAAAAAAAAGGCAAGTGCTGAGTTAGGAATACAAATCCTTTAAAGAGAAACCAGAGGAATGAATTAAATATCATTTTGAGATTAATAAGAGACCTCTCTTAATAGACTTCATTGGAGCTGACTGTTCTGGCAGTCCCTTTCCATCTCAGCAGCACATTTCATTATGTTTCTAGGTTTGTTTCTTAGCCTTAATGTGCTTTTCTAGGCATTTTTTAAGGTTAATATAAATAAATCTCTTGGTTCCAAAGGTGAAATGTAATTGGGGCTTAAGAAAGAGCAAGCAGAAGGGAAGAATGTGGCTGAGTACATAGGAAATTAGAAATAAGAATAAATAGCATCATGGGACTTGGGGAAAGAACAGAGATAACCACACAGTGTGAGATGAATGCATGAAAAAGTGGAAAATTTTAGGCTAGTGCAAAGAGGAAATGGGACGTGTTGCTGCAGACATGACAGCAGATGGCAAAATTGAGCTGCAGAGACTGAGCAGAGAAACATCTGGAGAGATTAGAAGAGGTTGTAAAGGTGATGCAGATTTGCTGACATCAAGCAGAATAAATGCAGCCTACCCCAGTGATGATGGAGGTCCCAGCCAGGAGTTCAGCTCATGGCTGGCTCCAGGGAACTCTTTCAGCACGCTTGGCCTGGGCTCCAGCTTATGTGCCCTCTAGCAACAGAGTTTCCTGCAAGTCTTAGTAAAACTGGTTTTCTTGTGCTGCTGAGGCTGTGGTGACCATGCACTTCTTGGTTTCCTCTTCCCACTGCTGTCTAGTCCCAGCTGGGAATAGTGTGGTTTTGGTTTCTCTTACTAACTTAAAACACAAAACCCAAGATTCAGCAGTTCCTGTAATCACACTGTGGAAGCAGTGACCTGGGAAAGGAAATGTCAGCCCCAACTCATCCTATAGCTCATCTCAGCAGGTTCTCCCTCCTGCGAGGAACACTGTGATTAGAGTCTCCTCATCCTGTAGTATAGAGTCACAGAATAGGATCATAGAATCATTTAGGTTGAAAAAGACCTCCAGGGTCATTGAGTCCAACTTTTGACTGATCACCACCTTGTCAACTAGACAAGAGCACTAATGACATATTCAATAGTTCCTTCCAGGGATTAGACTCCACCTCTTCCCTTAGCAGCTCATTCCAAGGCCTGACCATCCTTTCAGTGAAGAAATTCTTCCTGATGTCCAACCTGAACCTCCTCTGGTGCAGCTTGAGGCCATTTCCTCTTGTGCTGTCCCTTGTTCCCTGGGAGCAGAGCCTGACCCCTGCTTGGCTCCACCCTCCTGTCAGGGAGTTGTAGAGAGACAAGGTCCCCCCTGAGCCTTTTCTCCAGGCTGAGCCCCCCCAGCTCCCTCAGCCCCTCCTCACAGGACTTATGCTCTAAAGTCAGCTAAAGAGCTCCCAGTGGTTTGAAGCTGAGATAGGAAAGGCCACAAGGACACTGGGGAGACAGATGCAAACCATGTGCAAAGACTGTACAAAAACTGATGGAAGGATTGGGGGAAGGATGTTGGGAAATGATCTTTGGTGTAAGTTCACTGACTTTCTTTAGTCTTTCAAGCATTTCTCCAAGGGGAAGGGAAATCCACAACTTCCCAAAATAGCTTTTGTGGGTTTTTTTGTTGGTGTTTTGTTGGGTTTTTTTCCTAAGAAGAAAATAAGATGTATGTTCTCTGACTATTTCAAAATGCAGGGGTTTTTTGGGTTTTTTTTAAGCATCTAGAAAAAAAGGAAGGTTTTGTGGCAGTGGGTTTTGGTTTTTTTTTTAATATCTAGGAAAAGAGGTACGTGATAGGTAATCCAAAACAAGGAATAAATCCTATCTATAGTTACGTTTTCTAAACCAAAAAATGTTAAGCCTGGTTCTCCTCTCTTGTGTACTGGTGTATGTTCTGTAGTTCTACTGATATTAGGGAACCTTGAATCCTTGAAGGTAACCCCTTTTCATGCTTAAATGTACATCTGATGAAGATTCATGACTTCAAAGGTGCTCTCAAGCACCAGAGCTGGTGTCATGCTTAACTAAGCTATCCAGTAGTTAATAAACATCACACTATCATTTGCATATTTAATGCAGGGTACAGAATTTTATGGAAAAATCTATAGCTTTTAATCCAGTGATGAATCATTTATGGGATTTTGGATTATTCACTTTACACTGAATTAAGTTGTCTCTTTTCACCAAGTGAGCCTCCCCAACACAGTCTGTGTCAGGGCCGGGCTGCACAGTGATGGATGTTGCTGGGATGAATTATTTATTGGGTGTTTTAGACCATTTGCCCAGCAGTGAACTAAGCCCGTTAATTTTAAATCTATTCATATCCATTCCTGAGTGCACAAAAAAGTTTCCATGTACATGAAATTCATCTCTCTTTCTTCCTCCCACTCTCTCCAGTGCACTAGTGAATTACTCATGGAGTTTGGGTTGGGTTAGTTTTGGATGCAAAGTTTTCCTCAGTGGATGCAGTGACTCTGCCCTGGTGGGAGGGACTGTTTGTCCAAGCCAGTTTTGGACCTGGTGTGAAGGAGGTGTTTGTGTGAGTCCTTCAGTTCTCACTTGTGTCCTACTTTAAATACTGTGGAATGGAAACAACTGTGATTTCTTAGCTTGTCAGGCACATGGTATAATCCTCCTTAGTCCAAGGGGGTTGTATCAATGGACCCAGTATGGTGAGCAAGGAAACTGCCATGGGCTGTAATGATCAAGCACTGATTTTTTTAAATTTTATTTTATTTCAACCCAATGCTGGGAGAGAGCCCTTTCCCAGGGCTTTCCTGTGAACTCTGCTTCAAGGACAAAGGGAATTTAGTCTCTCAATGGAGCAGGGAGTCTATGCTGCTTTTGAATTCT